AATGTTCAGGTGGAAGCTGGCCTACCTTCTTAGAAAGGGCAGGTAAAAGAAAGCTAACTGCTTTAAAATGCCTACATATAAGATTTACATTTGAAAACAAAAGTACTTAGTGGAATTTTTGTGTATCACTTTAACCTTATTCTTACTAACCACGACTTAGAAAGACTTGTCTGGTGTTCATTTCCAATCTTAATTAATGTTTGAGAGTTCAGACACCAGGTATAGAATCTGAGGCTTTCTGCATGAAAAGCATATATTCAATCATTGATCTATCCTTCCTCCATATTTACATACCTCATAACCCCAGTAAACTGGAAGCATATTAAGAGTTGGGCAATCACAGTGTCTTGTATCTTCCAATAATATTGCTATGACTGAGAACAATTTTGGCAGATTTGCAAGATTCGGTTTCATTCTTATTGATATTGTTGTCAGTGGAAGGAGTTCTTGATCTTAAGAACTGAGATGGAAGCAAGATGGTTTATACATGCCCTACTATTTCTTCAAATAGGAGAAAATAAATCCTAAAATAAATGCCCTTAAATAAGAGAGTGTGTTGGCTATGATCAGTCAGAACATGTTTACTGAAAATTTGCTTTGTTTCTTCCCTTGCAGAATATAGGAAGTCACCTTGAACCAGGTATATATACTATTGTATGTGTTGACTGCTGTGGTTCACCAAAATTTCAGGCTAATTTTTTAATCTTATGACTCTTAAGTAGTCATATCAGGAAATGAATCCTGAGAGTTTCTACATAGTTAGGGCACATAGTTATCGAAATCAGATTAAAACCATATTGGGTTGACAGCTACTCTGACCAGAGTGTATTTAAGAGCAGTATCTCTATTTTTTGTTTTTGTTTTTACTACATACTTTGTGTCTTTTATAAGATGTGACTCCAATATAATATTTTAGCCTTAAACTCTCATGCAGCCATCCATAAAGGATAGTATTATTTTCTGAAAACAGAAGATAGTTAGCATTCAATCTGTTGTCTATTTGTAATATTTCATGCATACTTATATTTACTTTATATGAAAACTTGAAGATACATTTCTAAAACCAGAATATTTAAAGATATGCATTTGCTTTCTTCTGATTTTGTTATGAGTAATTTGTATTTCATTAATTGGGAAAATGTTCACATTTCTTCGTGTAATATACAGTAATAGCTTTCAATAAATATAATATTTTATTGAAATATTCTAAGTACTGTTTTTCATATTTAGCATAGTAAGTTCACTAATATGAAAGTAATCTTGTTCCATGGATGGATTCTGAAGAATTGACAATTAGTAAGTCCAACTCCAAGAAGTAATACATAAGCCAGGCCTGAATGATCTGGACCTTAATTTTATTGACAGTGCCATTGTTTTTACAGGTGGGCTTTTCTTTTCTTTTCTTTTCTTTTCTTTTCTTTTCTTTTCTTTTCTTTTCTTTTCAATTTCTATTACCATTTCATATGGAATGCATCACTTGTGAATATGATTAATAAAGGAAAAAAACAGGAAGGTCGCTTCCTTCAAAAGTTCATTCTAATACATCATTCTCCATGA